CACACACACTGGGGAGCTAGTCCACAACCCGGGCATGTGCCCTGACCCGGAGTGGAACTTCCATCTCCTGGATCCTAGGTCGATGCTCAGCTGCTGAGCCACACCAGCCGGGCTCCCCAAACTTTGTTATTCGCAGTTGATTGCCTCGTACACATTCCTCACAAAACCTTTACATGAAAAGGACTGTGCGCTATGCCTCTTTTTAAAAAAATTTCTTAGTTTTAGAGGACGTTTGTTAAAGCTGGGGACAGTAAAACAAGGAAGGACCTAGGATAAAAGCAGCAACAGGAAAGAGACTAGGTGGGGAAATGAGCCTAGGCTGGGCTGCTTTGGCTCACCAAGTAAGAGAAAAGGGGGCCTTAGGGACTGGGACAGGGGGTTAGCAGGGAGAAAATGGCTGCTGTCCATTGCTTGTGGGGTCCCTTAGAGTTTAGGAGATGCACGTTTAGGGGGTAAGAGGGGAGCAGGTAAGGCACAGGCCTGCTCCTGGGAGGGAGAGCATGCTAAGGGGATGCAAGGAAAAGTAGGACTGGAGAAAGCTGCATGGGACAAAGTAGGGTTGTTGGAAAACAGAGAAAGCAGGAAATAAAGATAGCTATGGCCCAGCCTGTTTGGCTTAGTGGTTAAAGCACCAGTTGGCCTACGGGCTGAAGGACCCTGGGTTTGATTCCAGCCAAAGGCAGGTACCTAGGTTTGCAGGTTTGATCCTCTGGTTGGGGCACGTGCAGGAGGAAACCAATCAATGTGTTTCTCTCACATTGATATTTCTCTCTCTCTCCACTCTTCTGAAAAGCAATGGGAAAAAAATGTCCTTGCGTGAGGATTAAAAAAAAAAAGGTAGCTATGTTCTGCTGAGGAGCAAAGGGGTGGTCTACCTTACTAAAGATTTTCATTTGACAGAAAGCTGAAAAACTTTGGCATTTTTATTCAGACACGTATAAAAACAAAACAAAAAACTTCAGTGATAGAACAGATACCCCCAGTTTCCCACCCAATGGAACAGAGGTCTGAAGATGGGTCCTCTTTCTATCCTAACCAGAAGCTTCCCTTTATTGGGTAAGAATAGCTTCTAAAAGTGGCTCTTGGGACCCTTGTAAATCTGTCCCTTGGGCAAGTGGAGATCACTGACAGCACAGAGATTCAGGTTATATTTCCTTCTGACCACCCCATTCCTGACATGAGAAGTCTGGGTGTAGGAGGCTGCGGTTGTTGGGGTTAGACTTAATTCAGTGCAAAAACAAGAACAATGCCCCTTACAAGGGCTATGGTTTGTATCCATTTTCCTTGATACCTTACAGTAAGAGCACACACATTGTAAGATTTTGAATCCTAGACCTGCCACTTAATTTTCTTCTCTCTTTAAAGGTCAGTTTCTTATTTGTAAGAACTATAAACAAACTAGTTCACTGAATTGGTATAAGGATTAAGTGAGATGATGTAGGTTAAGTTTAGCATAATGTCTGGCACAAAAGTAAATGCTCAATTAATAGTAATCATTAATATCTACTATTGACCTTTCTTCACAAGATTTTAAGTTTCCCCTTCTTTCCAGTGGATCATAGTCAAAATTTTACTTTCCCCCATTAGGTTTTGCCCTTTTTCTTTGCCTTAGGAGTCTGATGGGAAACAAAGGCACACTTTAAAGCCTAGTCTCAACAAGATTGAGTCTGAAAGGGGCATGATATAGGAGTAATCAAATGGATATGGGATATGATAAGGGAGTAATCCTTCATATCTCCAGGGAGTTCCCCTGAGAAAGCACACAAAACAGGGAAAACCTTCTACTTTCCAAGGATTAGGAAAGAGAAGAAATTGCACAGCTGGCTACATACAAGAACTTTCTTTCAGAGTGTTTAAAAGCCTCCAAAGGTTGAATGGAATTGTCTAGGACTGAGGGGGGGAAATGGTACTGAGACCAGTGAGGGAGAGGGACTAGGGAGAAGAGGGGTACCCTCTAGAGCAAGGGTGGGGAAACTTTTTTCTGCCAAGGGCCATTTGGATATTTATATCATTTGCGGGCCATACAAAATTATCAACTTAAAAATTAAATATGATTCCTAGGTTTATTACATTTCAAGTCCTCCCTGTGGTTGCCTTGGCAGGGCCAGACCAAATGATTTCATGGGCCATACAGAGCCCTTAGGCTGGACGTTCCCCAACCCTGCTCTAGAGGCATTAGCTGCCATCAAGTGCTCCCTGAGTATCTCAGGGAGCAGGGGTTATGTTCTTTGGGCATTAGCCTTGGGGAAAAGCCTACTATGCCAGTAATCCGGATTATCAAAGGCAGAGTCAGTGGCTTCTAAACTACGTAGAGTTTTGAGGCGGGCATAATGGACTTGGGGAGCATGGTGTCCAGGCCCCTGGAAAGCTTTCATCTCTTCATATCCTTGCTCAGCTGCTGGGCAGGCCCCCATAGCTGCATAATCTCCCCCAGAACTTCCTCCACCACGTCGCCTATTCATATATTCATAGTCCTCGTCTGGGGTTGTGCCAGCAGTGGGCATGATGGGCACAGGGTGGAGCGGGCAACTCTGTGTGCTGCCCAGGGAAGCACTGAGGTCTGATCCCACATCCATGTACTCATAACCCAGCTCCTCAAGGGAACTCGGCCTAGGGGGACGAGGTGGACTGCGCCTTCTCCTCCGGTTCATATATTCATACTCCTCATCTTCATCTTCTTCTTCAGTACCCAGGACAGAATTGAGACCCACAGAAGAAAGGGTGCCTTCCCTCGAGGATGGAGTACCTGGGGGTTGAGAAAATAGGCTATCTATGTGGAGGACTTCAAGGTAATAGGCAGTAGGGAGTGGGAAGAGTTGGGCAGTGGAAGGGGTAAGGGGGAGTCAGGTACCTTTGAGGTGCGCATCTGGCATGACATAACCATTGACATCCTCTTCCTCTAACCCTGGTGGGGAGAGTGGGGTGACAGGAGTAAGCAGGCTGTGGCGCTGGGAATGGTAGGCACTGTCTCCACGAGGCCGTGGGCTCCGGCTCCGACTTCTACACATCGACACCTTCTCCTGGAGCTCAGCCTCAGAGCCTGTCACATGGCCCTCGGATGACTCTGATACCAGGCGTCCCCGTGGCATTGGGTGCAGAGAAGCTGGACGAGGGCACCGTTCACTACCCCCACAAACTGCAGGCTCCTAAGGAAGAAAATAATACACAAAGATTTACATAGAGATGAAGAAAGGAGACTTGGTTGTTCAATGCCTTCTTTTTTATAGGACACTGATCAAACCTCAGAAGTTTCTAAAATCTCCCCACTACCCCTATCAATCGTAAAACATTCTGCCACCGAGCGTCTCAGCAGCCCCTTAAAGAGATAGACCTTACCTGGCAAGCTTCTCCAAGATTACTCTGGTTCATAGGCATATATCCAGATGATGGACTTAAAAGGCTCTGGCTCTAGGATGAAAAAAGAAAGAGGTTTAGACAAAGGGAGACATCATGGGTCCTTTGAGTAGTTAATCTGAGTATCTGTGGGGTTTATGAGGGCGCAGGTGTGCAGAGGGTGCAGGTGTACAGGAAGTCTTGGGTAACTGTAAAGTGCCTTACCCCACGTGGCCGAGTAAGTGTTCCAACTGGCAGGCTGAGGGCAGAGCCTAGTGTTGTTGCTAGGTTATCTTCCTCTGCCTCCAAGTCCAGGTCTAGGTCTAGTTCTGGCTCCAGCTCTACTTCCTCCAGTTCCTTATTTGTCAGAGCAGGGGGCTCTCCCCCAGGGGGAATTCCAGGTCCACTCTCTCTCTATAGGGGCAGGTGATTGTTAAGGTAGATCCTGGTTCCAGCCAGGACCCCTTGCTCTAAATCTCCTTGACACCTCCTAGTCCCTACTCACCTTAATGACCAGATACCGTGGTGGGTCTCGGGCCATCCTGGTGAACTCATTGGCTAGTTCTTTAAAGGTTGGGCGAATGTTCTCATCAATCATCCAACCTGGGGGTAAGATGTAGGAAGTAGAGCCATAAGAGAGTAGAGTAGGGAGGGAAGTCAGTTAGCAAATGGTTGACATCAGCAGGTAACTCACACTTGACCATGACCATGTAGACATCAATGGTACAGATCTGGGGCTGTGCCAATCGCTCTCCCTTCTCCAGCAGGTCTGGTACTTCAGCCAATCGCAGCCCTGCATAGGGCTCCGCCCCAAAGGTCATCAGTTCCCAAACCGTCACACCTGGTACAGGAAGACATGACTAGTTGATGGCAAAATACTAGAAATGAGCATGAAGATGAAGGGAAGGCAGAACTTAATCTGACACAAGGATCTGAAGGGCTTGAAGATTCTAAGAAGGGGTCCCAAAAAGCAGCTGTGGAATCTGGGCCAGTGATGATATGGATAGCATTCAGATGGACTCACCATAGCTCCAGACATCACTCTGGTGTGTGTATTTCCCAAAGTGGATACTCTCGAGGGCCATCCACTTAATTGGAGTCTGGGGGATTAAAGACAACGGTGTCACGTTATTTTCACAGCATTTCTAAACCCCAAGTTCTCTACATTCTTTTTGTTGTTGCTGTCTCATATATTTCTGGCATCTTCAGGTTACTCTCCTTGAACTTATGCTGCATCTGCTTCCCTCTGGAAGAAACCACTGACTGCTCCCCATCTCCATGCTTCGCTCTAACCCCACCTCCTTACCAGCCCTTTGTGTCACCTACCTTAGCTTCACTGTGTAGCAGCTGTTTATCGTCAGGGGGCAGAAGGTCAGCCACACCAAAATCTGCCACCTGAACCTGACTGGGTGACTTGAGTAGCACATTTCGGGCAGCTAGGTTCCTATGCACCATACCATGCTCTTCAAGGTAGTACATACCCTATAGGAGAAGGAAGTATTCTCAAGGTTAGGAAAACCGATCCTTGAGATCCAGAATCACCCCAAACCCTAAAGGTACCACTCAGAACTTCAACCTCCTTACTCCCTCCGTGAGGGCCCCCAGCCAGGCAGTTCCATCATAGTACTCCTCCAGGCTCCTCTCACCTTGGCAATTTGTACTCCCCAATTGAGCAGCAACTGTGGCCCCAGTGCTCCCCGGTGTTGTCTCACATGATCCAGCAGGGAACCCAGAGGCAAGTATTGAGTGACAAGCTGCAGAGATGACCCTGGGCACAGTCCTAGCAACCGTACAATGTGAGCATGGTCTAGGCTACCAATGGCCAGCATATGCTAAGAGACATAAGAGAAGAGGGGTTATCTAAAGAAACAACAGGTTCACATATACCCAGACCAGGGCTCCCCAACATTCCAGTACAAACATCAACATGGCACATAGTATCTACTGACACAGGATCACACTTCTGCACAATCGTATATAACATTGACCTCTTTCCTGGTGGCATATGGAAAACCCTTCCTTCACTTACATCTGTCACAGCTTGGAAACTCTGCCGTCCACTCTTGTCCTCAATGACTTTAATGCAGACTGGGATCTTTATTGATTCGCCCTCAGGAATCCACACTCCCTGGGAAGTTTTAAGCAACAGTCAGCCTAAGGTCATTCTCCACAGCTAGTTCTTTCCCTACCTCCCAGACTTTTACTTTCTGTGGGTCACTCACTTTGTGCACAGTTCCAAAGACGCCTGAGCCAAGTACTTTAAGCTTCCTCAGCTCTGTCTCCTTGAAGATTCTGGCCAAGACTTTGTTAGCCTTCTCACTGGGATCCAGAGGCTCTATGCTCTGAGAAGCAGATGGGAAGGAGGTACTCAGGAAAGCCCACTCCCATGATCCATTCTAACTCTCTCCTCCTACATGGTTGCCAAGAGCAGCAGAGCCCAAAGGGGTGGGAGCAGGAAGAGGAATTGTCTTTAATCTTAGAAAGCATTGCAGGCATATTGGGGAGTTACCGATGCCAAGGACTGAGGAAGTTGTTTGTGGTCATGAGATTAGGAATCAAGAGAGTTGGGTTTTCCCTTTGATGGGGGAAAGGCGTTGGTAATACTATCCCTTGAGTACTTTTCTACAATTCTCTATGCTTTTCCTTTTCAGTGCACTTTCACATATATCATCCCCTTTCACCCTCACAGGAGCCATCCTGTAAGGATGGATGTTATTTCCTCTGCATATGTTCATAAACTGAGGCACAGAAGGAAAGTAACTTCTTCAAAGTCATGCAGCAAATTAATGGCAAAATGAGGAGAATGCATGTCTCCATTTCTCTGGCCAGAGTTCTTTCTAGTGGATAATACTACATCTCCCGGAAAAAGGGGATCAAATCTCTAGGGAAGGAGGAGGCTCTTAAAGAGTGATGAATAGGGTACCTTTCTAGAGTAAGCTAGACACTCACCTCACCTCGCTCCAAGTAGCGCCTCATAGCCCTCTTATTCTGAATCCGACGCCCACGCCAATAGAGGATAGTGCTGCCCAGGATCACGAAAATCACTAACAATCCTACTACCACTGCTAAAGCCATTGCCAGATGAGTTTTGCTGTGGGGTAGAGAAACCCAGCATTACCCTCGGTCCACCTCTCTTACAAATCTCATCTATACCTGTCCTAAAAGGTATGGTGCAGATCTGTGGCAAACAGTTGACATTCATGTATACTATATCCTTGAGCACTAAAGGGGTTAATCTAAATCTGGACCTCCTGAGGCTAGTGCAAGTTGATTTTAGAAAGGAAAGGCCAGAAGTCTGGATTCTTGTGTCCCCGAGTCTACAAGAATCTGTACTGTGAACTGTATATAGAAGGCCAGAAAGAGTAGACTCAACTCTTCCCAGCAGATAACCAACCACCCTCTCCCTAGCTTCTCTCCCAAATATCCCCGGCTTCCTAAGTCTCCAAGCCCATCATACCTGATCAGCACCTGGGTTTGGCCTAAACAGTCTTGCAGGTCTGGTCCCTTACACCTAGAGAAGAAAGTCACTCCTTAAGTGGGAGCTGGAGAATCACATGGGAGGCTCAATTCCAACAGATACAGCATTGTTTCAGACCCTACCATAGCGTCCCATCCTGGAGCCCAAGCATATCCCCAGATACGGCCTCCATCTCTAGCTTGCCCACCCTCCCTGAGTCCCTCTGTTGAACGAAATGTCCAAGTTGAGGTTACTCCAGGTTCCCAAAATTGTGGGGTAATTTTGGGCTGTTATTGAGTATCCCTTTCTCTAATCCTTCACTATACAGCTGGGAGTGGTTCTTAAATCACAGTTCTGTTCTTCTTTCTCCTCCCTTCACCCTCTTCTCTGCTCCTAGTTCTGTGCTCTTCCTCCTCCTTCCCCTAACCCCCTCGTATTAACATCCCGTCACTGACCCCTGGGTGCAGTTCTCATGACAGGGCCGACATTCATTCTGAGCATCTGGGAACTTGTAGATGGGGCCCTTGGCACCCAGGACTCCATTAGGGCAGCTGCTCACACAGTGGGGCCCATCTCGAAAATGGGCACACTGGGCACATGCATCAGAGCCCTGGGTGGAAAAGAGAAGGTCAGGAAGAATGGGATCGCAAGGTCAGTTCCATACCTCCCAACGAGGACAACCCAGCCATTCAGGATCCTCCATCCACAAACCCTAGCATTATCTGGCCTCCCTGTGTTGGCCTTGAGGTTTGGCAATATTCCCTAGATCCTCCAGTGTTGCCCCACCCTCTGAGATCCTGGTGCTGCTACTGTACCGAGCCATTGCATGTGGCAGTGCCCTCCATGGGTTGGCATTCCGGATGGCAGGAGAAACATTCAGCTTCATGGGCAAACTCACGAGGCTCCCTGCAGTGAATAAAGGCAAGTAAAGATGAGGGTGGTCACCTTTGTGCTCTGATCGCCAACCACAGGGTCTCCTCCCTCATTCCTATCAAAGCATATGCAGAAAGCTGGCTAAAGGCTTTCAGATGCCGTGGGAATAGCTCCATCCCAGGGCCCCATCCCTCCACCCCTTCTTGACTCCTCCTCTCCTCATCATACCCATTCAGAAAGTTGCAGTGGGTCACACAGACACCTCCTCGGCTGTAGTTTCGACAGGACAGGCACTGACCAGGGCCTGGGCCCCAGCATCCCCCAGAGGAGCACAGTGGGTCACACACTTTGCCCTCTGCCACTGGAAAGGAAAGAGTAGGTCAGGAGGAGTCTGAGGTCTCCCAGGAAACCCTTTCCTGAACGAAACTTCCTCTTTACTGCTTCCAGCCTAACATCCCTCTCTCTTGGCTCCATCCCCCACCCTACTCCAGAGAAGAACAGTCCTTACACCCCTCTCCCCAACTCTCTTCCCACCACCCAGTGGGTCCTTGCCCTCACCACAGTCCCTGCGGGGCCGATTGTGCTTGATGTCTAGTCTCTCTTCAGAAGGCCCTCGAAGCAGCCTGGTCCAGTTAAGAGAATAGTGGTAGCAGAGCTGCCGATTGGCACTTATGTAGATACGCCCAGCACTAATTTCTTTCAAGGATCGGAAGCCCAGAGATGTTATATTCAAGTTCTTCATGATCAACAATGAGAAGCCCCGGCTGAGAACAAGAAGACAGGATGAGAGGGGAAACTACGAAAGGAAAACTATGCAGTGGACTCATTTTCATTCAACAATTTGCTCTGGGCTAGTCAGACACGCTGAAAGGGACTCCTCCTCCTTTTGCCTTTTCCCCATCAAACTCTCAGACCCTTTGGGGCTCCCATATGAGAAAAAGCCTTCCTTGTATTCCACTCAAGGATGCCTAAGAAACGGGGTTCATTACCTGGAGATGCTGTCACCTCCATACCCATTACTCACTTGTAGAGGCTTCTGCCCCCGATGGTTGTCAGGTTGGAAAAGACACTGAAATTGTGCATGTGGGGAGGCCAGGACTGAATGTTTAGGTAACCTGAGGGGTTGGAGAGAGGTATATGAACAGGGAGCCTTCTTCCCTTCCTCTTTCTCAGGCTCTCCTGGTCCCTCCCCTGTTGCTTGAAACTTGATTTTCTCAAGTGGTTATGCTGCAGTTTGTGCCAGTGGTTGATCTGTTCTCAGAAAGGACAACTTCTCCTCCCACTCACCTGTGATCTCCTGAACTGTCCGGAAAACATTGAGCTTCTCGGGATCCAGGGCAGGGATCTTGTGCCAGGGGTCTCTGAAGAGAACAGTAAAAACTAGTCACCAAGGTGTAGGTATAACCCAGTAGTGATGAGCGGCCTAGCCTCAGAAGTTAGGTTCTAAATACCATTCTCCACTAAAAGGAAACAGAGCTCCTTAGAAAAATAGCTGGGCCAAGAGAAATGAAACATGAGCCTACAGCATCTTACAGAAAAAACAAGCAAGTGTTCATATAACGAGGGGTGCAAGCCCAAAGAACACAGGAACCAGCTTGAAGGGGCTCCCAGAGGCCAGATCAAGGACAAATGAACACCAAAACAATGATTGTAAGAGATTATAAGCCATTGAATAAAACAAATATCCACACAGATAGGTAGGTAGATGATAGATGATAGATAGAAGACAGATAGGTAGATAGATGATAGGTAGGTAGATAGGTAGGTAGGTAGGTAAATAGGAAGGGAAGAATCTTCCTAACACTAGAATGCCAATGAATAAATGCAGAAGGAATAATGGAATTAGAAAATAATCACCTGTCCACTCTCATTATAAAATTAATTCAGGCAAAATCCCCATAAGATACGTATTAATTACTTGCAAAGGGAAATATAGTAACTTTACAGTAGAAAAACCTAGCAGACACCACCTTAACCAAGTGACCAGATATCACCACCAGTGGTAGGACAAATCAACAGTATATGACTCCTTGACAAGGATGCACTGAGAATACATTGTTAGTATTTCCATCAAAAATGCGTAACTTGAACAGGAATGTAAAGTACAGCATAGGGAATAGAGTCAATAACATTGCAATAACTCTGCATGGTGCCAGGTGGGTACTGGAAATATCAGGGGGAAGACTATGTAAAGTATATGATTGTCTAACCACTATGCTGTACACCTGAAACCAGCACAAATAACACTGAAAGTAATTTAAAATTTAAAATAATAAAAATTTTAAAAAAGCCTAACTTAGGGACTATAAGTATGAGGAAATACCACACAAATCCAAACTGAGAAACATTCTACCTGTTACCTGACCTGTACTCAACAATAACGTCAATGTCATGAACTGTTAGAGATTAAAGGAGACTGAAGAGAGAAAACAGCTGAATATAATGTGTGATCCAGGACATTAGTAAGACAATGAGTGAAATCTGAATAAGGTCTGCAGATTAGATAACGTTTTGTATCAACGCTAATTTTCTGATTCAAATATTATTCTGTGATTATGTGCAAGAAACTGTTATTGTTTTTAAGGAAAACATACTGAAATATAACAGGGGTAAGAGGGGACCATGTCTGGAAGTTTACCCTCAAGTGGTTCAGAAAAACAAGAGCATGTATTGTGTGTGTGTGTGTGTGTGTAGAAAGAGAGAAATAATAAAGCATGTGGTATCATGTTTACATTTGGGGGATCTGAATAAAGAGTGTATAGGAAATCTTTATACCATTTTTGCAACTTTAGCATAGATCTAAAATTCTGTCAAAAGAAAACAAGAAAAAAGGTGGCTCTAATGTAACACACACACACACACACTTTAAGTGCTGTCCTATGGATTAAAAAGTCTCTTTGCAGCCCTAGTCAGTTTGGCTCAGTGGTTAAAGCGTCGGCACCCAGAATGAAGGGTCCCAGGTTTGATTCTACCCAAGGGCACACAACTCAGTTGCATGCTCGATCTCCGGCCCCAGCTGCAGAGCATATGGGAGGCAACCAATCAATGTGTCTCTCTCACATCGATGTTTCTCTCTCTCCCCCTTCCACTCTCTGAAAAGCAATGAAAAAATTTTTTCGGGTAAGGATTAAAAAATAAGTAAGTAAAAAAGTAAAAATAAAAAGTCTCTTTGCAGCCCAGGATCCTATGTGCCTCAGTGTCAGAGAGTTACCCGGGCACTGAAGGGTCACAGGTTTGATTCCCAGTCAAGGGGACGTACTTGGGATGCAGGGTAGACCTCTGGCCCTGTTCGGGGCGTGTGCCGTAGGCAACCAATCGATGAGTCTCTCTCACATCGATATTTCTCTCTCCCTCTCTTTCTCCCATCTACTCGCTCTAAAAATCAATGGAAAAAATATCCTTGGGTGAGGATTAATGGAAGGAGGAAGCAAGGAAGGAAGGAAGGAAGGAAGG